AGTAAGAGCGTCGATTTGGGGATCGAGTGTCGCGTCCCAACGGGACGCAATAAATCGATCCCCGAGAGGTCGATTTCTACCCGCCGATTCAGGCAGGTAGTGTAGACCCAGCCTAAGTTTTCATTGTGTAAGTTTCCTCAGCACGGCAGCACCTATATTTCTGTGTCTGGGCATGTGCATTGCTGCCTCCCTCTAGGTGTACAGATGTTTATCTCCTGCCTAAGCCCCACAGTGAATCACAAACCAGGGGAAGATAGGCATTGGGCCACCTATCCCACCTGCAGGGCCTGATATAGTAGGCACTCTGAGCACACCTATTGGAATAGGTCCCATTCAAAATCCTGGTGGTGGTGCTGATGATCAGAGCACTCACCTAGGCTGTGGGGATACCCTGGTTCAATTCCTCCCCTCTCTACTAAAGGGGAGACTCTGGTTCAAATCCTGTTTCTCAAGAGGAGGCTTCAAAGACTAAACTACTGGATATTCTGATGTGGGACTTCTTCAGTCCCTCCTGAGGCACACAGCGTATTTATCCACAGTGGAACAGTCCTTGGTCAGGAGAGGAAGAAGAGAATGACTCTGTAGCCTAGTGGTTAGGGCACCCACCTGGGAGGTGGAAGACCTAGGGTCCAGTTCTCCTGCCCCAATCACTCTTTCATTATTTATCCACAGTAGAACAGCTTCAACAGCAGAGCCTGAGAGAGCCCCACATCAGACTATTCTATAGCTCAGTGGTTAGAGCCCTTTCCTGAGTGGTGGGTGCCCCCACTGCGCCTAACTCAGTTCTGCAAGAAAAACCTAAGCTGCCTGACTCCAGGTACTGGGTTCCCTTCAGTGAGATCCCTAAGCAGAGTTAGATGCAATCTCCAAGAGAGGGGCAGTGCTTAGTATACACCCCCCTCCTTAGCATCTCCCACTGGCTAACTTAGGCAGACAGCTGCCTACTGTGTTGGCTTTTGTAGGTCACATTCTTAGGAACCTTTCTCTCCTCATGCATTGTATAGGGAGCTTGGTGCCTAACTTGGCTTTGTGGATCATAGTGTTGTTCCTGTGATTTTCTAAGCACCTGAAAGTTAGGGAGCTTGACATTCAGCTAGGATGACCAGATCGCAAGTATGAAAAAATAGGGCTATGGGGAGGTAATAGCTGCCTATATATAACAAAGTCCCGAATATTGGGACTGTCCCTATAAAATCAGGACATCTGGTCACCCTACACTCAGCAGTGCAATGCCTAAGTCCCTTCATGGATCCCACCCTAATTACCAGGAATCTTAATGCAGAGTTTTAGCTTCTGAACCTATACAAGGTCTTAGTTCTTCCACCTTTTTAAATGAGTACAACGCAATAATTTAAACTGGAGGTCACAAAGGCATGGATGGATGTAGTGGAGTACTGTTCTGAGAGATATAGACAGCTGTAAATGAGGATGGGGAGGAGAGAAGGCACCATAGATTGCAGAAGCAGTCAGGGATCCCAAAGCACACCCAAACTGAATTTCTCAAAAAGAGTAGGACAAACTTCTTCAATAATGGGAGAAAGAACCATCCTCCTGATCCTTCCCCATCTCCACTAGCATCGCCTCTCCTTCACCCTGCTCACATTCATCCACAGCTCAGTCTTACCCAAACACTGGGAAAACAAACTCATCACACCATTTGAATCTTTTGAAAATGAGACCAAGCTGTGTCTCATCGGCATTTTGATGTCAGCTCAGCCCAAATAATCAGTCTCTTTCAGCAGCCTCACACATACCCTATACATGGAAAGGGGACAAAAGCAGAACCTCTTGGCCCAGGCAGGAAATGTGAGCAATTACCCAAAACCTCCCTCTGGGACCTCAGACAAGAAGAACAAAACTACTCAAGAGATAATGCCTATATAATTGGCCAGACACCCTGTCCACTCCTCTGAAGATCCACATATCTCAACAAAACCTCACTGTCAAAAGGTATCCAAGGATGCTGGCACACCTGAAAGAATCAGTATGAACACCTAGATCAGCATAAAGACTATTTAGATTGTAAATGCTTTGGAGCCGGGACTGTTATGTTCATACACTGCCTAGCATTGGGGGCCAGGCCTAAGCACTACTATAATACAACCCACCTGCCAACTGATCTTCATCAATTGCTGGAAGACAGTTAACCAAAGATGGTAGTTTAGTTTCATTGTCATACAAAGGTGTAAAGTAAAGCCAAACTAGAAATCTCAGAATTGCAAGTGAGACCAAATTTGTCTCACCATACATTCTCCATCAGCTTTCCGAGAAAAAGAAAGGCAGAGCAATAGTGGCCAATGCCAACATCAAGAGATGGCTTTAGAAGCAAGGGCCTAACACACACATGCTCGAGGGAAGATTTTGCTGCACTACCTGGAATGGAAGGTCCTTATACTTTCCAGTAAGATCTCCAGAACAGAGAGCTCTCCCTATTACTCAAGTGGAGAAATAGCTCTCTCTCTCTCTCTCACACATGCACATAAACACATGTGCACACACAATTCTCCTGCCACTGACACAAATGATGAAATAAACATAAATCTTCTTCACAACAAACAGCCATCATACATTACAGCAAAATGCCAGTCAGTACCAAGATTCTCTTAGTCCAGGGGTCGGCAACCTTTCAGAAGCGGTGTGCCGAGCCTTCATCTATTCACTCTAATTTAAGGTTTCGCATGCCAGTAATACATTTGAACATTTTTAGAAGATCTTTCTATAAGACTATAATATATAACTAAACTATTGTTGTATGTAAAGTAAATAAGGTTTTTAAAAATGTTTAAGAAACTTCATTTAAAATTAAATTAAAATGCAGAGCCCCTGGAGCAGTGGCCAGGACCCAGGCAGTGAGAGTGCCACTGAATCAGCTTGTGTGCCTACCCCTGTCCTAGTCCTTTACTCGTATCCTCATCTAACAACTTGTTAATTTCCTCATCCTTTTACTATATGAGGGAGGAGCTACTTATGAGAAGCTTCAAATCAAAGAAACAGACTCAAAGGAGTGGACTATGAACCATAACTTAAACTAGAGTCAAAGTACAGTAAAGAAGAACAACCGGGTGTTGACACAGCTGTCAACAAATTGGGACAGATATTATCCTTGCTTCCGGAAAAAAGATTAATCATTATATATGATAGTTGAGATAAAAATATTGAATCACAATTGGAGGGAAAATGTGTGTGAAATCCTGGCTCCATGGAAGTTTAATGGCAAAACTCCCTTTGACTTCAGCAGAGCCAGGATGTCACCCAATGTGTATTTAACACTATCATAGATTTGTTAGGGATTTCTTAATGTTATATTAAGAATTTGTAGAATTCCTTGTGTATATGAAATACACTGACACTTTACAAGATAAAGTTGTGTTGTACACATTCAAGGGCTATAACTTTGGAAATAAGTTGCTATAATTATATGCATTCCTCTTCTCTCCAGAGAGTACAGTGGTAGTGAACATGGCCCACTGCTTCACTCTCAACATATGGGCCTGCAGTCAAGTAAATTAGTACCATTCTCAGATGCAGCGACCACTACTCACTCATATTTCTTGTGGTGAACTGCAAAGGCCTACTATAAAGATACAATCTGGGGCATACAGGGATGAGATGTTTGAGGTTTCAATAACTCTCTCCTAATGTACTGCCAAGACCAGCTGGGACCCTTCTCATCCTCCAGCTTATTACCATAAATTATGTTTTAAAAATACGGCTAAAGGAAATAAGGTAATGAAATTACACAGTGCAACCTGTAAAAAGTCTAAATCAGAGGTTTCCCAACCATAATCAGTGGAGAACTGGCTATTCATAGGTTGCCATATTGTTGTCATCTTACTTCCAGCAGGCAAATTAAATTAAGTTTAAAAAAAGACATTTTCCTAATTTTACTTTTTCACATAAACAATTGTTGTAGTTGCCTCAGTGACCATATATGTTGCTTTTGTCCTTGCACAACATATCCTCTGCAACTGATCTTTGCACTGTTTAACTAGGAATTTCTAACTAATTCTGCCCCCTGCTGTTGTACTATTATAAACTGCTTAAAATTAACTATGTAGCCCCAAACATAGCAGCAATTCAGTGATGGATTGAGTTTCTCCATGTGTATAAATTTAGAAATATGTTTGTAAAGCCCTTTGGAGTGAAAATGCTACTGTATATAAAGTATTTCATGTACTTTTTGTGGTGCAGAGGGACGACTGATTGATTTTTTCGAAGTCAGCATAGATAACCTAGTAATGAGTTTGCTGCTGTCCAAACAGATATGCACTGATATATTTATAAGGCAGTTTTTACTTCATGTTTAGAATAAGTAGAGAAATTATTCCATGTCCTTTGAAAAAAATCTGTGATCCATCACTAAGCCTTCAAAGATCAGGGCATAAGCCATGCATTAACTACTTCGGGTTTTGGTGAAGTTCCTTTCTATTCAGCTTATTCCACAATTGTGCACTGTAGGCTTTCTAGCAACAGCCTCAAAAGCATCTAGTATTGGGAGTAGATGGACCACTGGTCAGGTCCAATATAGCAATTCCTATGTTCCAAACTATCAGTGGAGGAATATTGTCCATTTTCATGATTTATGGGAAAGAAACCTTGCATAATCAAAAGGCTTTCAGAACAGAATAAATGCCCCCAAATGATTTTACAACTAACAGTTTGTGGCTAGGAAGCTGAAAGTCCACTTCTTACTGACTATAGCTAGTCAAGCAGTTTATTAAACCAGCTGGAGCATTAAGTGAGTTTTTTCTGTCCCGGAAAAATGTGGATGCTGAAATTAGACACAGCATGTGGGAAAAATGAATGAGTTTGTAATACATTGTTTACCAAGGCAGAAGCACAGTAACTCTACGCTTCAAGTCACTTTAATAAGAGAAGGCTTTCTTAATATTCAGCCTAAATTTTCCATGTAGTTTTGTCCCATTACTCCTAGCTATACCGCATGTATCACATTTTGAACTATTATTTTTAGAAGCTCTTAAATAAGGAACGTATCAAAATTGTATTCTTAGATTCTTTATTTTTAAGAACATCTGTTTGTATGTCACAAAAGATAGCTTTAGAACAAGCTAACATTACTATGGTTCAGGCATATACAACTGGTACAGTTCAGTAGTACATAAACAACTCTAAAACAAATGTACTGTAGACCAGGGAACTTAAGTTACCAAAAATAAACAATATTAAAATTTATATAGGGCAGTAAGTAAAAACAATTGCTTTTAGGTTCTGCACATTAAAAGAAAAAATGTAAGCTTTACATGATAATTGAAATTCTGAAGTTCTACTACAGATTATTATGGTATATAACAAAGAAGAATAAACTTGAAAGATTGTCACATTTTGGTTTTGTTCCAGTGATGCACAATCACATGAAATCTTACATAAGTTTTGTGTAAAATTACCATCTGGTTACTTTATCTACAACAGATTTTAAGATTTTAAAAAAGCTTCCATGTAAAATCATTTAAAACTAAAGTAATGTAAAAGGGTGTTTACAGACTTCTTAGGGATTGTCGGAGTAAATGCAGTCAAGAGCTGCAGTGTTTTTAACATTGGTAAACAAATACTGGATTAAAGTGCAACACTCTCTCTGACAGCAAACCTGCTCTGTGCTGCAGAAAATCTCTAAATCTCTGCAAAGAAGTAGAAACCGATTTAGCCAGCATCAAGCATGTTTCTCTCGAAAGTCACTGATGGCCTTCCAGAGCGTACATAACATCCCTCCTCTGTAAAAGAAAAACCATAAAGATGATTAGCTTAAAAAAACTGGTCTCCACTTCCATAGTATCCTGATTCAGATATGCTTCAATTCAAGCCATCCGGTAGTGGTAGTAATACATTCATTGCACTTATTAAACATGGTAAAAACACAGAGAAATCAAATGTGAAATACTAAAACACAAAATTAAAACAAATGTGAATAGCATTTTTGGTTATAATATAAACTAAAAACTTCGCTAAAGCTCACAGAAGTCAATAAAAAGACTCCCATTGACTTCAATGGACTTTAAATAAGACCATAAGCATTGCCTCCAAATATGTATTTCAACTGAATTGAATGGGAGTTTTGGCTGAATTAGTAACTGGAGCCAATATACTTAAAAGTTAACACCCAAAAATTATCCGTAAGTGGCAGCTTTAATTTAAATCCACTTTTTCTGTATGATCCAGAATAGTCAAGGATTGAGTCTGATCACACACCAGCAGTAAACTGGTGAATCTCTGTTGATGTCAGTGGAATTACTCCTTATTGACATTGGAATAAAGGCATGACTGTCCTCCCATTGAAATCAATGATCAAATTAATGTAGGATTAATCACTAAATGATGAGAATCAGGCCCTCATTGTTGCAAGTAGACTAAGCTAATTTGAACATACCTAGTAAATGTCATATACGATCCTTATTAATATAATGAAACACTAGAGTACTATTTGTCCATGTTTTAATATCTAGCTAAGATGATTGAGGGCAAGGGAGGCCTGGTATAACTGTATGCATTGCTTCTAGTCAAATCCAATTTCTACAGGCAAACTTGGTATGATTATGTAACAGTTTAGTGGCAGTTGCATAATTTTCAGACAGATTCTGTGGTTTATTGTTCTCAAAATGTTAAATTATCTGTGTCTACAATTGTTTATATAAAGCAACACTCCAAAGAGACCTCTCTCCAAGCAAGTCTTTTGCTTTAGCTAACTTGAAGAATAAATTCTTTCAAATAACAAAAACTAAAACATTTTTAAATGTTTAATCAGTACATATTCAGAGTGTCTCTCTGTGTGTAGAAACCCTGAAAACTAGATTTTGTAGTGTTCATTTCACATAGGTAAATTTCACACCTTAAGAATGCCATTCACAATTTTCTATTTCTATAGTTTCAATACACAGAATACCACTATATTTCAGCTTTGTGAGATTCAATAGAATGTGAAGTGTTACCTTAGTCTCAGGCATTTCAGATCATCTCGTGTAACGTAGCAGAGAATATCCATTAATGTGTAGTCTTCTGCCAAAAACTTGGGGGGGGAGGGAAAAAAGTCCTAATTGAAAGTTAGGCTACTTTTGTCAGATATATCCATTTATTCTAAGATTTATATATAATACAGGGACATGAGCCTGCATTCCTTGTGTATCCAAAACTCCCTTAAATCAAATTCTGAGTGCAGAAGAAATACAAGACTGGTCCACAATATGGGAACTGTGTGGCCAATAAAGAGTTTGATGCTATTGTTTTGTTTATATGTAGCTTTTGTCTAGCTTGTATTTTGTAAATACAATGAAAATACAACATCCTGTATAAAGATGAGGTATGTTTGCATGTCATAGAGTATATATGTTTGAATTGGTCCTAAATCTGTACTTCAGATACATCTTGTTTTGTTAATAGGCAATTCTATAGAGCGCACTATAGCTGAGTACCTCAGACTTTAATTAATTCTAAACACTCCTGGAGATAGGGGAGTTGGGAGGTAGGTTGGTATAAATATCCCATTTCACCAATGGGGAAAGAAACACACAGAGAAGTTAAGGCCTTTGTTTTCAAAAGTGACCTCTACACTTCAGGTGCTTCAATTTTTGTGCGATTAACCTTAACACACCATGGGCCTGCTCCTCAAAAGGTGCTAATCAGCCACAAGTCTTAACTGAAGTTAACTCAAGTTCTAGAATGCTCAATATCTCTAAGGCTCTGTCTTCACTACAAAACAGGTGTATATGTTTTCATATCAAAATAGCTAGTTCAGTGTAAAATCCTAGTGGAGACAAGGCACAGCTAATTTTTATCTTGTTGTATCTAGTCAAAGTCAACCCCCATTCCTCCTGAAGTTTACAAGCAGGCTTTACTGCAATCAACAAGAGAGTTGCTGGAAAAGGTGCAAAGATGCTTAGGAATTAGGAAGCCAATCAAAATGTTAACTGGAAAATGTGTTTTATTGTATCGAGCTAGCTCAGGGGTGGGTAAACTATGGCCCGCGAGCCGGATCCGGCCTGCCAGCTGTTTTAAGATGGCCCTCAAGCTCCTGCTGGGGAGCGGGCTTTGGGGCTTGCCCCGCTCTGACGCTCCAGCCTTGTCTCCACTAGGGCCAGGGGCTGCTCCACGCAGCTCCCAGAAGCAGTGGCATGGCCCCACTCCAGCTCCTACGTGTAGGGGCAGCCAGGGGCTCCACTCTGCATGCTGCCCCCACCCCAAGCGCCGCCCCCGCAGCTCCCATTGGCCGGGAGTTGCGGCCAGTGGGAGCTGCACAGGTGGCGCCTGCGGATTGGGCAGCATGCAGAGCTGCCTGGCTGCCGCTCCGTGCAAGAGCCAGAGTGGGGACATGGCCGCTGCTTTCGGGTGCCGCCTAAGGTAAGCACCGCCTGGAGCCTGCATCCCTGAGCCTCTCTCTGTGCCCCCTGCCCCAGCCCTGATCCCCCTCCCTCCCTCTGAACCCCTCAGTCGCAGCCCGGAGCACGCTCCTGCACCCCAAACTCCTCATCCCCAGCCCCACCCCAGAGCCCTCACACACACCCCCGCACCCTACTCCCCAGCCCGGAGCCCCCTCCTGCATCCTGAACTCATTTCTGACCCCACCCTGGAGCCTGCACCCCCAACCAGAACCCACACCCCAACCCCAATTTTCTGAGCATTCATGGCTCACCATACAATTTCTATTCCCAGATGTGGCCCTCGGGCCAAAAAGTTTGTCTATCCCTAAGCTAGCTACATGAATTAAAAGCAAGAATAGACTTTTAATGATGGTCTTTCTATTCTTCACCCTTCCCTTGTCCCTCCACCCCCAATCTCATCTCCTTCAAAAGGTGTACAAATCATTCCAAGGTTTTTGCTGGTATAGAAATAATTCCAAGGTTTTTCTGTTTTTTTCCCCACTAAGTCCTAGAAAAATGCACTGCTACTGTATCACAAACATACCTAAGAAAATATCTTTCCTACCCTATTTATAGTATCTTCATCAGCTCCATGAACTCTCAGCCAGTTTATGAGATCAGAGTCTTCAACCCCTGTGCCAGAAGGATTAAGGTGACAGACAGACAGTCCAGGGATATCTAGATCAAATATTTAGAAAAAAAGTTAGGTCTTTTCAAAGTGTCCTCTTCACAATTTTAAATAGAGAAGCACGGTCTTCAGTGACCTTTCCTACTCTTTCCACAAAAATGGGACATGCAAGTGCCTCTACAATGAAGGATAAGAGAGATCAAATCCTGCAGTATTTACTCAGGTAATATTCCCTAATGCACTTAAATGCAGTACTGTTTCAAAAGAGCACTACATTAAAGCACACTAGGGAACCGCTAATGCCAGGGTCTACACAGACCAATTAGTGAACAATGCATTAGTGCATTTTTGGAAATCACTTCCCCATAGTCCATACTATTGCTATGTGTAGTCAAGCCCTTAGATGCGTGCAAGCATTTCTGGTGTCTCTTGGATAAATATGGATTTTTTTTTAATTGGGGGTGTTTTATCAGTGTTTATTAGTTAAAACTAAAAACCAGAAGCCCAAGGTATTCTTATGCCAATACATCTGCATCTATACTTGGGTTGTAAGAACTATCCTGGTATAATTTAAATTGGTAAAGTGGTACAATCTGTGTGTGTAGACAAGGCTTTAGACAAGACTTATACTGCCCTCAATGTGATTTTTCTTGAGTAAGGCTTCAGGACCAGGAGCTGTACTATTTTTATAATCCCTGTTTCACCAGGGTTTTCACTCTGCTATAGAAAGGCATTCCATGCTAAAATATGCAAGGGCCTCCACCCCTACTACAAATAAGATTTCTATTGTTTGATTGCTTTTTAAAGCTTTTGCAGTAGTCTCTCTCTCTCTCTCTCTCTCTCAATTATGGCTCTTTTCCCTTAAAAATGAGACATGATCCTCTAAGGCCCTCACAGGCTCTCAAACCTGGGAGGGAGGGGGAGCAGCAGCGCGTGAATCAGCTGTTTCGCGCGCCGTGGTGCGCGAGCGGCGGCAGCAGCGGAGGTGAGCTAGGGCGGCCAGGGCACATTTTTAGGGGCGCCATTCTGGCGCCGGCCATGCCGCTCCTAAAAATGTGCCGCCCCAAGCACCAGCTTGTTTTGCTGGTGCCTAGAGCCGGCCCTGGCTGCAGTCAAGAAACAAAAGGTAAAATCCTGGCTTCATGGAAGCCAATGGCAAAATTCCAACTGATTTCAACGTGACCAGGATTTCACTCACAATTACTAGATAAATTACGCGCAATGCTATTCTAGAACTCCGGCCCTTCGGCTCCAAACACCCAGCTTCTTCCGCTAAAATAATTCTCGAATACCTGGTGTTGATAATAGATTTTACACACACACACACACACACACACACACACACACACACACACACACACACACACCACC